CAAGTTATGATGTTCTTGCAAAAGTCCAGAGTGTAAAGTTTGATGCACCACGTGCACTTAAATTGGCTCTATACGCAAACGCAAGTGCTTATATGTATTAAAAAATTACTTATTTCTCCTAATCTGAATAGAGATATTATTTTTACCATGTATACGCCAATGTTCCATAAAAGTGCCAAGTCTGACATAGGATTTATAGCAATAAGCACAAAATATCCGAAAATAGTGCACTGAAAGAATATGTTCGTAGAACAGGGACCAAGAATTAAATATTATCCTACAATAATCACAAGTGTAATCTTTTTCAGGATGCTGTTCGTCCATATGTGTTCCTAACTGCTGCCTTGTGGAATATAGCAATTGACATGAAGTGCAGACCATTCGGTTTCGAATCATGAAAACGAAAGCTCTATCTTTTTCTTTGTAATAGGATAACATATAATTATTCTCGATTGTGCCTCTAGGCCCAACGATCTCACCCTGTGACACCATTTCAGTGCAAACTCCTTTAAACAAAATAATTTTATATCTGTTAATTATAAATGTTGATTTTAAATTCGGATTTCTAGTACCCTCACTCACTTTTCACCTCGCTTTCCTTCCTTCTGAAGGAAGGAAATCCTTGTGATCGATTAGTGTTCGCGATGAAACAGAATTCGAAACAACAATATTCGAAATTTATTTGCCGTGAAAGTAATTAGAATTTAGAAATAAGTAATTTTTGTAATAATCAATTTTGCAATTCAAATTACACGTTGAGAAAAATATAACCGATAAGTTGGTTAATTATATTTTTAGATTTCGCGATACATAGATTTCGTACTCACAGCCGATACGACACTCAATGTTCTGTTCAATTTTCAATTTTAAAAATATTCAACAAATCTCGTGTCACGTTTGTATACAAATATATGAAAGTTTGAAAATCCCTTTAGACGAGCTCGGTGTCGTTAATCATACGAATATGCGATTGCCGATCGATATGAATGCAATGGTAATTACAACGATGCAGCTGCATCATTGCAAAAATCACAATACAAATACGATGCTTGTTCTGTTTCTTTTTGAAAACGAAGTCGAATAAATCACAGCAAAGATTCTCACAGAAATAATTTTCACATTACACGTATGAACAACATTGTTTTAAATGTCCGCAAATTTTTTTATATTGATCTTTGAAACAGGTTTCTTAACTCGCTTAGATGACAGTTTTAACAAACACATTAAAAATTCATTATGAATTTATACTTGAACTATTTGCTTTTATTTTAAATTTGATATAAAACTGATATGGTTTAAAAATACAATCAAGAATGAAGATATATACTTTAAAGCATTGCAAGATGTACATTAATATATATGATATAAATTAATATATATTATTGTATGATATAATATAATATAATATAATGTAATATAATATTACATTTAATTGTATTATATTATATTATATTGTATTATATTATATTAATTTACTTTTTTAAGACATTACAAAGCAATTTAACATTAACAAAGTGTAATTAACTTGCAAATGTATTTCTAAAATATTATTCTAAATTGAAATATTATTTATTTCTAATTTTAATAATTTTTTAAAATAAAAATTTAAATTCTAAATGTTTAAATTATACACTTAATTCAAGATTATATAAATAGTTTTTAAATTATTTAATATAAAATAAAGAATTCAGGTTGGCATAAACATTCCTTTCGTCATTTATCATTTATTCCTTTCAATTTTATTCTTCCAATAACATTATAGCCACGTAATAATCGCATTCTTGCCCACAATGTGTTGATATTTTGTGGTCATTAAAATGCCTCCAGGAGATGAACGTCTTGTAGCACAATTTACATTCGTATGGCTCTGTGTGCAAATGTAGGTTTCTTATATAACATATTTAACAATTCGAAAACTGTTTACTGCATTACGTACAAAAATATATTTTCTTACCGTGGAAACTCCAATGTGATTTCAATTCCTCATAATTAACATGTGATTTGTAACAATAAGGACAAAATATTAAATTTCTATGTATTGTACTATTGTGTTCCTGGAATTTTAACCAAGTCTTCAACATTACATTGCAACGCTTGCACATATAGGATATCCTCGAATGTACTCTTTGCATGTGTATATCCAAATCCATTTTTGTAATATATTGAAAATGACATATACCGCACATGTATCGTCGACGTTCGATTATATGCCGAAAACTTAGAAGTTGGAGATCTTGTTTGCGCAATTCTTCCGGGTCTTTATTTGTGAAAAACATATTTAATACAAATTCTCTTTAGAAAAATAATGGTGCACTCGTAACGGATGATGATTTTGTTTCAAATTTTTTGTTCAAATGTTTTGTTCGTCTTATCGCAACACTCTTATCAAAGTTTATTTTCGACTCTTTCCTTTCCTTTTCGATTCTTCACGAATTCCTTTCCTTTTCGATTCTTATTATATATGATATTATAGTTGATAAATTATATTATATATGATATAGATATTATAGTTGATAAATTGCGAAAAAGAATTATACAATGTATATGATTGACAGAGTTCCGCGGACTCAACGATCGAGACGTATGTGATGTGTATAAATACTTCATGATTCGTTTAAACATTACTTAAAGTTTAAAAACAAACAATAAATCCTACATGTTTATATGAGCGTCAATTATATTATATAATGTACATTATAATAATCATCCAATAATTATTGGGTAATGAATATATGTATTTAATAACTTGTTACTTAATGATTATATTTATTTTATTAAAAAAATTAATAATTAATAACTACTGTTACGTTAATTAAAGTAATATAAATTTTAAAAAAGAGTTTCTTATTATTTTAAATTCGATTTGTCCAAATAAAAACAAACAAATAACATATATACTTGATACTTGATATTTTAACGTATTTTTCTTATTTAAAATAATTTCTTTTTCAACAACATTATTTATTAATCTGTATCTATTGCAAATATAAGAGTGTAATTATTTAAAATTATTCTTAGTTTTTCTAACTGAAACTTTTTTCATTTTAAATATTAAGAACGTTCGTTTTCTTCAAATATTCTACTACTTACTGATCAATAATAAAAATATAAAGTGTACTCTATAACAATCATTAAGTGCAATAAAATTAATTCACCCTATAGAATAAATGTTATATTTATTTTTTGTTCTTTTTTTTCCAGGTACTCGAATAGGAAAAGAATAATTCTGTATGAAAAAAATATGCTGATAGTTATTCATACAAGATATTATTTTCCAAAGATTGAAATTTTAAATTCAAGATAATAATGATTTAATTATGTAATCATTGATACTTATATAAAATCAGTAATTATTATTACAAATAATATATGCATATATATGTATAAATAAATAAATAAATAAATCAATAAATATATATAAATATATATAAATGTATATATACTATAATTATACATGTATATTTTTTTTATTTTTAATAAGATCATTAATCGATGTTTAATAATACTTATATAAAAAAGACTTTATTTCATCTTATTTAAACATAATTTTACTTTATATCTTTTTATTTAGAATTTTTACCTTTCCTCCCATTAATAACGAACTACCCCGTAGTCTCAAGTACGTTTGTGCGATTTTTTTTTAAATTATCATAAATTTTTTAAGCAGCTTATTATTAACAACCTTTCATTAACAATTTTGTATTGTCCACTAATTCAAATTTAATTTGAATTCGTGGAGATTAACTCGAACTCGACTCGAGTCGAACTCCGCGAATGGCCGCAGGTTCCTAACTTTAAACGTTCGTGACTTTTGAGATAACGTTTTTGACCGAAACTGATGCCGCATTGCTTACACATGTACGGCTTTTCCTCGGAGTGGACGCGTTTGTGCCTGGTCAGGTCGTTCTTCACGCCGAAACCCTTGCCGCATACGTCGCACGTGTGATTCTTCTCGCCGGTGTGCACCGTCAGGTGCCCGAGCATTTGTTGTTTCCAGCGGAATCTCTTGGGGCAATAGATGCACTTGTGCGGGAACTCGTCGGTATGGGTCTTGCCGTGTATGTACAGAGACGCCTTGGTCTTGAACGTCTTGCCGCAGGTGTGGCACACGTACGGGCGTTCACCGGTGTGGATGCGGCGATGGTCCTCCATGGCGGTCTTCATGGCGAAGCTGCGGCCGCATATGTCGCAACTATGATTCTTCACGCCGTCGTGCACGTGCTTCAAGTGATAATACAGACTACCGCCCTGGACAAATTGCTTCCCGCAGACGTGGCACGTATACGATTTCTCATCCGAGTGCGTGCGTACGTGGGCCCAGTAGCTCTTTCGTGAACGGAATTTCTTGTTGCAAAGTATGCAGACCATCACCGGGCTGGTGGAGGCCTTCTTGGGTTTGAGCTGTTTGACATTCCTCTCCAGACACTCATTAGACTCGTTTACTTCGATTGAGTGTTTTTGCCGTTGGGGGGCATCTTTTATGCAATTTGTATGTGTTCGTTCAATAAAATTAGAATCTTGGTCTTCTTTACTTTTCTTCTTTTTGTTACTCGTCGATTTATCTGACGAGGATATTTTGGGAGATGTATTGGTGGAGGATAAACGTACGTTTTGTTCAGTGTTATCGATGTTATCTGTGGGAGAAGAAACATTCTTGCAGTCTTTATCGATTATATTGGACGTTTCAATTCGAATTGGATTGGATTTATTTTGATGCTCTTTCATCTTGTTGGATTGCCGGAAATAACTGTCAGAAATTAACCGTTTGTGAATAATAATCTGATTCTTCAATCTGCAAAAATAAAACAATAATTATATCAAGCATTTACTTATTCTCTATTATTATATTGTCATCATGTATACAAGATATTAAAAAGTGTTTTAATAAATTTTTTTGAACACTTTTTTTTCAATCAATTTCACATCTACATGTATCTACTGTGATATAACATTCTACTAATTTTTTTAAAAATTACAACATTCCAATAGTACTTTTTATAGTTATATAGTTCCTAAACATTAAACAAAGTTTTTTTAACATCATAAGAAAAATTAAAAAAATTGACGTTTCAGTCACTTTTCAATATCGTCCTTTAAAGTTAAACAAAAAGCAATCGAATATTATGGCAAGTCTTCTCATTAGACTTAGGCTAGTTTCATAATCATAAAGCACTTCAGAATAAAATTCCAACAATTTCATATACATTTGCGAATGTTCGTAACAGCATGATATTCGACTATTACGTATAGTGCTGACAATTTCCGACACTTTTGACAATAGCTTTCTAACATCAGCTCGAATTCTATGCAGTTCAATCATTTCAATCATTTTCAAAAATCATTCTATATTACATTCTATATTATATTGAAATTTATATTCACTCTTATGTTATATATCAGTTATATAATCGTTTTATTTATATAATCGTTATAATATTAAACTATTTAACTAATCCGGTAATTATTAGAATTTGTTTTTTAAAACATGCTTTGTCATCTTATAATTAATTCATAATTATTTTTATACCTAAGCTATTATAATATAAAAAAATATTTGGATTATTTATATTTAAATATGTATTAATTTCATACACGGTAGCATAAAGTGTCATTCGTATGTTTTTGTTTGCAATTCTTCAATCTTATAATTTCTTATAATAATGGGCTTAATAATGGGTTAAACAAAGGATGGCAAATGGAACTTTTGGTAATATTTTTGGAATTTTTATAGTAATCATCTAGAAAATGAATTTTTCAGAAACTGTCTCTTTATTAAATTCAAGTTTCACAAAACGCGTGATATGCAGGTTTCTCAAATAATTCTTTGAGATATTAAGTGAAGTATGCTTTTTAATTCGGTAACATTTTTACAAGTTTTTACTTCACTCTTCTTTGGGAAACATATTCTTATGCAAAGTTGCTTCACTCGTGGATTTCCTTGGAGTTCCTTGTCTTCACTTTACTGCTCGTTGTGATTCAATTCGAATAGACGTTTACGTTATTTCTTTGTAATCATAGTATTCACACATTAGATATGCTTCATTTATTAATGTATGATCTGAATTGAATCGAGATACTTCAAGTGTGAATACTATGATTACAAAGAGGATACTTCAAGTATCGACAATATAGCGATGCATGCTATCAATGTACAATGTACAATCAATGTACTTATTCATGGCACAATGTTTCATCCCTCTGTTCAACCGGATACATCCAGAAACAATATCAAACTATGTGTTTCACGTATTGGCTGTGTGCAAACTGCCACAGTGTCTCTTCAGATATCGCTCCTGAGTAAACCTGGCGCCGCAAATCGTGCAAATGTGCGATCGCTGATCGGTATGAATGCGCCGATGACGAGCGACACAGCCTTTGCTGCGGAAACGCTCGTTGCAAATTTCGCAGGCATACGGCTTTCGATCGGAGTGCCAGGACGCGTGGCTGTTCAGCTCCTGTTTCCGTCTGAAACCGCGGTTGCATAGGTCGCAACGATGCGGCAAGATCTGGGAATGGTAGAGTCGATGCACGTGCAGAGATGCCTTCTGCTTGAAAGACTTACCGCAGGTCTCGCATACATGAGGCCTCTCGCCGGAATGAGTGCGTCTGTGTTCGTCTCTCGACGCTTTCGAAGCAAGACGACGACCGCAAATATCGCAGATAAAATTCCTAATACCATCGTGGACATTGCGCACGTGCCTGTTCAAACCAGACGCTGATCGGAAGCTTTTGTCGCAGGTGCGACAGTTGTAGGGTCGCACACCGGTATGAATATTATGGTGAATTAACAGATTGTATGACGTGGACAAAATTTTCCCGCATTCTTCACATTTGTGAGGGGTGCATCTGTTCTTCTCCGTCACCTTTGAGGGAGTTAATTCAACATGTTGTTCCGACTGTTTCATACATCCTTGATCTACTGTGCGTTTCTTTTCTCCAGGCTTCTGTATTTGTTCAGAGTTGTTCGGAGGAGAATCCGTCGAATTGTTTCTTTCTATTCTCTCATCAAAATCATCAAGATGTTGTGATGATGCGCATCCTTCGTTAGATCGAGTTTTCTCAATATTTACACATTTTTCTACATCGAACAACTCGTTCCTTGATTGATTGATTTGTACGTCTCTCTTCGACTCGTCGTTCGATATCTGGCACGTCCATCTGAAAAGAGAGTCAGCTCGTTACTTGGTAGCGGCCGAGCTGGGTGGCGGTTCGTGATTTAGTTTCTTATGATTAACTAAGTAGCGCTTCTGGCGAAACGAAAGGCTGCAGTCGGTGCAGCGCCAAGGTTTCTCGTCGGAATGAATTAATCGGTGTCGCTTCAGCTCATATTTAATACGAAAGCGACGGCCGCAAACGTCACACGCGTGTGGTTTTTCACCGGTGTGTTTGGTGATATGCAACAATAGCGGCGGTCGTGTGCGGAAGGTCTGGCCGCAATGGCTGCACTTGAATGGAAATACGTCCGTGTGCGTGCGATTGTGCACAAACAAGGAGGCCTTCTGCTTGAACGTCTTGCCGCATACATTGCAAACGTACGGCCGCTCGCCGGTGTGAATACGCCTGTGATCCTCAACGTTCCGCCGCGTTGAGAACATACGGCCACATAGGTCGCAGGGTATGTTCTTGATACCAGCGTGAGTCTCCCTCAGATGTCGTGCCAGACCCTGATTTACGCGGAATCGTTTGCCACAGAGGTGACAAGTAAACAGTCGTTCACCCGTGTGGATGCGTAAATGCCAGTAGAAAGTATATGGCGAATTCAGATTCTTGCCACATTCGTTGCAATGATAATATACCTTACCATCGTGTTCTATTCGAGCACGTAATATCGTCTCCGTGGCCACGAAGGATTTCCGACTTTTTCTGGCGACCTCAGGATGTGCCTCTGCTAAATGAACATTTAACAATTTCCTCTTATCCGTGACGTGCTCGCAGTAGACGCATCGATGAAGTCTGGATCGTTTCCGCAGTTTTGCTGAAGGAAGATTACAAGATTCTTCATCGGTCATTGTGTTCTTAGTATCTTCCATCAGCCGGTATGTTTTCTTCCTTATACTGTCATCTGTCTTCTTTTCATTTTCTGTCATTTTGTCATACGTTCTTGACGAGTCCTCTTCGTTGGCCGAATCGTGATGTTTGCAGGCTGTCATATGGCGAATTAAATGGTGTTTTCTTTTAAAGACACGTTGGCAATTATCACAAATATAGTCCTTTACAGATTCACTCATTGATCGCAGAATTGTCGATTCAGTTTTTTCCTGGCACCTTAAGGACTTTGAATCGTGTGTTTGTTTTTCTGAAATCTCTTTAGCATTCTCTGCGCTCAGTGTCATGTTTTTCGTTGCATCATTTTCGTGTTTTATCGTGGCATTATTCGCCCATAAAGCAGCGCTATACGAGGAGCGGTATGTCGCGAGAGATCTCTCCTCTGCCAGCTGGCACCTGGAAAAACAATAAAGGTGGCAGGTTTGAATCGGTTTCCATAGGTGCGATGACGAAAGATCATATCTATATGAAAAATGGAGAGAAATACAAGAAGAAGGCAACGTTGCATATTCTTGCGTAAATTTCAGTTAATTATGCTTCTTATCGTTAGAACGTTCGTAGAGATTCGTTGTGTCGACTTTTAATATGATTGTTTAGATAACGCTTCTGACGAAAGCAGAGACCGCATTTGGCACACGAGAACGGTTTCTCCTCAGAGTGAATAAGCTTATGCCGTGTGAGCTCGGACTTGATCCGAAATTTCCTTTCGCATATATTGCACTCGTAATTCTTTTCGCCAGTGTGCGTGGTTACATGGGCCAATACCTCCTGTCGCCGACGGAATCGTTTATTACAGTACGAACATGCGTGCGGGAACACGTCGGTATGTAGCTTGCTGTGGATGTATAAGGATGCCTTAGATTTGAAAGTCTTCCCGCACGAATCGCAAATATATGGCCGTTCGCCAGTGTGTGTGCGCCGGTGATCTTCCCGTGTCGCTTTGGATGCGAACGATCTGTCGCATAGGTCGCATGTGAAATTCTTCAATTTCGCGTGCACATCTTTAACGTGCCTGGTTAATCCGCCGGAGTCACGGAACTGTTTGCCACATACGTGACAAGTGAACGGTCGTTCATCTTTGTGGATTCTCAAGTGTCGTTGATATGAATCTTTCAATTTGAAACATTTGCTACACTCAGCACACTGGAATGTTCTCTCTTTATGCGACGCTTTGACAATAATTTCGCACAAATCTTTAGCGTCCATTCCATCATCAAAAGAATGTTCCAAATCATCGTCTGAGATTTGATCATGTTTCCTTTTCTTCTCCTTGCGGTGTACAATAGCGATTGTCTGAGGTTCGATGCTACTTTCGCAGCTGGAATATTTTACAGAATTCTGCGTTACTACGTGCTCTTCCTTCGTTTCGACGGACACCTGATCGTTGTTCTCCAATTGTTTAGGAACGATAGAAGGTCGATTAGGTTGATCGTGCGCCGGTGTATCTATAACGGTGACCCAGACCGAGGCGGAGTCCTCGGCTGTCGCGTTTGGCTTTCTCAGGTTGCGCTTGTTTCTCGGCTGGCACTGTTTTCTGTATGGCTTCCAAAATGTTTTCAGCGTGTCCGAGGACACTTTAAACGGTGTCCGGACGCCGCACGACCTGCAAAATAGCCGAAACTTGACTCCAGGCTTTACGGTTGTATGACACGACGCAGTGGAGGATTGCGGTTTCAAGCCGGTTATCTAGGTCGCTCATTTTTTCTAGGTAAAAAGCCAACCACCCCGGTTCATTATTCTGGCGCATTGCCTTTCTCTTTCATTGCTCGAAATCTTTTGTCAAGTTGTCTCAAAAATTTTCTTTGCGTACGTCAGTAGAATGTTCTTTTCTTTATTTTTAAATGACTCATCAAGAGTTCACAGTTTGTCACGATGCGTATCATAATTGTTTATCTATATTCAATGCTAAAACAAGTATTGGATCTCCATCTTTTCGTATATATAAAATACATAAGAAAAAACAAACTTTAACAAACACTTAATGTGGCACTTAAATATTCTTTTTCATTTATCTATTAGTTTACATCTACATATTAAAAATATTACGATCGTGAACAAACATTCATAAATAGACAATAAGGGAGAGAGAGAGAGAGAGAGAGAGAGAGAGAGAGAGTAACTTTGTTTGTTTTTT